TGTGGGAGAACTGCCCGAAACCTGCTGTTTCGGCACTGAAGGGAGGATAGCAATCCAAGATCATCTTCTCCAGTTTGGTGTAAATCTGCGGAATGGTCTCGTTGGCACCCACTGCGACTTGATGGTCCTTGGCAAACTGCACGATGTCTGCTTTCTTTCGGGAAGCCCGCTTGAGAGCAGCCAGACAACTTTGCATCTGATTCCAAGGATTGCCATTTTGCATGTCCTTCAGTTCTGCAATCCTTCCCTTGATCTGGAGACAAGTCCACTGATGGGGAGCTTCTTCCCCCATCTCCCTGAGTTTCTGCCGAAGATCTGCTAGGGTGGCCGACGGCATGGTGAGCACAAGGAGTGATCGTGGAAATGGGATCGGAAGCTTGCACCTTTTGAGAAACAATACCAACAACATCACTGACCTCTTCTTCGCAAAGCATGCACCTACTTCCTAGCGCTACATGCAATCCACAACCCGGACAGATTGACATCTCGTGCAAGGCGACAAAACCCTTATCTACCCCTTTTGGAGTTAAGGTCTGTACAACATGGCTTGAAAAACTGTTTGAAACATTCTGAGTTGGCACGTGTTGACTCTCCTGAACCGGAAATGATTCATTTTTCCGTCCATGGTGCTCAGGAGAGTGCTGTCCCTATTCTGACTCGGCCAAAAGCCCTCGGAAAGGAGTTTTCCTATTCCGAGCACCCTTCAAAAGATCGTCGGTCAAACGCATGGTCAAATGACCGTTTTCTTCTTCCTCAAGTTTGGTCACCTTGGTGGGATCAACATTAGCAAAAACACAGTGCCCTGTGCGAAAATCTACAACGGCACCCAATGACTTCAGTGATTTCACTGAGACCAAAATGGGTTGGTTTTCAGAGTCATGGACATGGACACTCATCCTACCTTTCTTGTCACCAACCTGCATGCTCATGTCAGCTGTGGAAACGCATGTGGTTCGCTGCCCGTTGCCAAACTTAAAGATCGGTCGAGAGGAAAGGTCAATGGAAACACCAGTGCTGCCAGACTTCTTCTCATTCATCTTCATAATGGCTTCCACTGCTTGGATGGAACCCAAACTTGAAGTAGCCCCGCAGTCAATGATGCCCTTGCCTTCCTTGACCAGTCTCGACAAAGACAAGAAAGCATGTTGGTCTTTGTCAGCTGGACCAGCGAACTCTTCTGCTTGAAAGACAATTTCAGCAGCTTCTGACTCGTCTGCTGTCATGCCCTTCTCATCCACAGTCTTTTTGGGACAAGCTGAGGTGTAGTGATCGCCGCCACATTTGAGACACTTCGCCTTGTCACTTTTGGACCCTGGGTGTGAACCCTTTGATGCACCGAACTTTCCCTGTCCTTTTCCGGGACCTCCTTTCCAGGATGGTCGGTAGAACTGGCGGCCCATTCGTAGTTCATGCTGCCTCTGTCGGGCATCTTTCAGGGTTCTCCGCATTCTGTCTATGGTTGCAGCTGCTTCCAATGCCTCTTCTTCTGCCGCGGCGTATGCTTCTTGGCTTTGCCAATCCTCCCCAAAGTCGGGAGCTTCTTCAGCTGCCAATCCCATGTCCTCCTGATCATTGTCGCAGTCAGCATGGAATGCATGTCCCTTGGCTTTGTCTCGCCGCATCAAATCTTCGTCACTCCACATTTCTTTCAAAGCTCTCTCCACGGAGTGCACCGAAAACTCTCCTCGGAGGCTTGCCAGGACATTGTTTCTTTCCTGATACTCCAAGCCGCTTCGGTTCAAGAGGAGGTACCCCACAAGGAAGTCAGGGAGAAAGCAATCCAAGTCCTCGTCGTTGTACCTTGGGAGGTTGTAGTCATAGTCATAGTGTCCCCATCCACGGTGTGACCAGCCATTTTCATACCAAGTCCCGGTAGAGCTACTCCACCATGAGTCACGACGACGAGGCTCCTGTTGGGGCTCTTCATCATCTTCTTCAAGTCTACCATCATCCCCAAAAGGGAGACTATGGCTTTCCCACTGTCCTTCACTGACTTCATCATCTCTCCGCGAGCTATGCGACGAAGCTTTCCATGACCCGGAAGCCCCGTAGGACGCATTCTTGACTCCATATTCAGCTTGAACACGTTTCATCGCCTTGGTGGCCTCCCAAAGGGCCTCTGAATGGCGGTTCACCCAAGCAGTCATGGTCTCGAACTTTTTCCTCTTCAGGCCAAAGAAAAACTTGTTCACATAGCGGGAGGCATTGATCAGCGAAGGCTTCTCTAAGTGTCCTTCAAGATACTCAAGTAGGGTGGTTACCCCTCCGGCATGATCCACCCATCGAGCATCTCTAGCCAAAGGTCTTCTCACAATGGTCTTTGCTACGCCTTCTAGTTCCCTAACTAGTCTAGGGCCAGCCAAATACCTTTTGTGAGCTTCAAAAGACATCATGTACTTGTATGCCTCCTCCTTGTACTGCAAAAAGGTCTCTGCAGATCCGTCATATCTGGGAACCCCTTCGGGACTTCTTTTGATAGTTCCTCTATCATCTCCACCCAGCATGCTCGCACGCTAGGCACACTAACTTCGCCCTGGAAAACCACAGTAGCTTGCAAACCAAAAGTCAAATCGAAAAACCAGGCTCTACGCTACCATGAAAGTGTTCACACCGCAGAACACCCTGAAACGGCCACTGTTTATTTTCCTTGACAGCCGGAGGGGTCTTGAGATTAAGATTCCGGGAGATTCGCATTTCGGTGTGGAAAGCAAGACAAGTGTTTCAACTTGCACCAGGTACCCCTCCATCTGGCCCAGGTTGTCGCTTTGTGGAGCGTTTGGAGACTTGCGGGCTGATTGACGAACAGTCCCTGGGTTAAGCTTAGGGGGGTTATACCAGCTGGCTTCTTGGGGATTACTATGTCATAGTAAGGCTAAACTCTTAGCCAATAGGCTTATTGGGTTAGGTCATCCCATACTATTTACCAACCTGCAGAATTGCATGGGATAGGGGTATTTTTCTTGGCTCACATGGCTTGTCTGAACATGGGGTACCCTCGAATCCATTGGTTCATCACCATATTTCCTAGTGTAACTGCCATTTGTATCCACTTGTTGGGTATACCTCATTCGTAGAGACAGCTACATGATCATGATTAGGTGACATAAGTTCTTCGTTTTCTGGTCCTCTCCGATTGTTTTAGCCTGGATTGATGATTATTCAGTGTACCCTTCGTACTGTTGGCTACCCCTATGTTTGCTCGTGAACTCCTCATTGAATCCATCCTATTGGCTAAGTCTATCCCGTCTATCCCTGTCCTCTGCTAGCTTAGCCATAGACATCGGTGCTATTGGCAAAGCATGTGTGATGTTGCCACAAAATGGAGGCAGTGATCCCCCTGTTAATAGGGGTTCATATATATATATATACATATACATATATTATGTATGTAAATATATATATATATGTATATATATATATGTATATATATATATACATATGTATATATATATGTGCCCATTATACTCTTAAAACTTAAAAGCCAGTATCAGAAATCCGTCATGATTGTGGGATGACCCTGACCCATATCGCCACTTGCTGCCGAGGCAGCTCAGAGTGGAAACTGCTTGCATCCCCAAGAGAGGCTTGTCTACAACGTTGATTGATGACCCGCAGAAGACTTAAGGTGAGGCCCCCCCAATTGATGAGTTGGTTAAACAAAAAATAACATTAACATCCAGTATAACTCTTGCACTCACCATACCCCCTTCACCAAGTTATAAGTCAACTTAGCAATCAATCGGGGGTCGCCGCCTTCGTAAGCGCTTTGGCTTGGATTTGTTTGGACCAATTCTGGGGAGATGCCAAACCCTGTGTAAGAATTGGAGATATAAAACTTATATAACCAATTCTCAACCAGTGGTATATAAACTTATATAACTTATATAACTTATATAACAAGATATAAATTTGTTCTCAACCAGCGGGCATTTCACCAATTCACCACAAGCTGGTCAATTTGGAAGCTCCATCGCACAGCTTAAACCAATCTTTGGTGGACCAGCGAACCAAGTGAACGTCTCAAACACAATTCTGAGCTGACTAAGAACATGAGGAGATGTTTCACAAAATGGGGGTCAACACCATCCCCAATTTGTTCAAGAACAACATGAAATGGGGTTGTACCCTCTGGTGTTTACATAACTATGGAAAATCACCATTTTGTAGCTAGGTAATTCAACTATAAATATCATAAATGGCTATTTTCAATAGCAAACTGTTAGTTTACCAGAGGGTAACAACCTTTTCAGATCACCAAGCAACGGATGACATTGAGGATGTGCCTCCTGCCAGCAACGACTCCCCAGTGATGCACTGACATCAAGGAGTGGGGGGGGGGTGGATAATCCACCATTTATAAAGATTGAAAACACGCACCCCATTTAGAGTGAATTTAGACCTAAATACATTGAAAAACACAGATATGCGTTTTTTCCTCCAAACTATAAATCTATAAACCTACAATTTAGTTCGTAGTTCCCATTGCTATGTTTGACTACCAGCGGGCACTGGTTGTACTGTATATTTTTGTTTCCCTCTATCTTATACATATAAAGTGCATATATATATATATATATGTGTGTGTTCATCCTCAAGACTAAGATGGCTGACCGGCAAATCTCCAAATTCTGCACCGAAAGCATCAAACCAATGCGACGCACATGGTGACCCCAAAGCTATGTTTACTGACCAGACTGTATAGCCTCAAAACCAATGTTTTGAAGATAGAGTACCTTCATATTTGATTGTTTATTTCATGTTATTGAAATAACCATATATTGGGGGACAATTAGTTCGCTGTTTGAGACAAAACCACATAAAGCAGGATTGAAATCTATGACCACGTTTATTAGTTTATTGTATGTCATTTTTTAAAATACATCTATGGGGGAAAATGAAGATACTGTAAACCATCAAAATTTGGGCCTATTCTTCAGACAAACCCATGTCTTCCTTTCGTCGACAGCGCAGGACCTTGCTTGAGATCGTCAAAACGCACGATGGCGGCGCGCTGCTTTTACAAGGGCGGCGCCCGATGGAAAAAAAAACACTTTTGCCATGCTAGTGGGCCTCAAAGAGACTTTCTTTGTATATACATATAGATATATATGTGTGTATAATGCTCAAACTTATATGTTCAATGGTACCCAGATAGATACATAGATAATACGGGTAGGCACATAATAAAGTGCATATCTAGATAAGATAGATAGATACTTGTAGATGGATGCATGGATGGATGGAAGGATGGGTGGATGGATGGATAGATAGAACAAATAGATGGATAGATTGATAGATGCATTAATATATAGATTGTGGATATAGATGCACGTTGGCCTCTCTTGTGCCTTGTGTGTGCGTCAACTTTGTGTTTGACTTCTCTTGAGGTCCTTTGTACATGCCAACCCAATGTTGCAGTTCATACTCCTTAGTTACTCTCCTTAGTTACTGTTTTAGTTTGTTTGTGTCAACGGGTTGCTATATAGCCAAGCGTGGAGGTTTCATGAGTGCCTTCAGCAGAGCCTGGCTCCGCTCGAGCGGTTGGAACGCTCCTATGGCTTGGTCGAAAGAAAACAGCTGAATTCTGTCAAAAGTCAAAAGAAAAGATTAATCTTACCAGTAATTATTCAGTAGTTACTATGTTCCCACAGTGCCTACTCTGTTTTTTTCCCAAAAAACATGTTACAACTTGCCCAGCCAGTTACCATCCAGTTCCCAGCTCCACTAAAAATCACCCGGTCCAGCCCGGTCACGATGGTGTTTGTTTCAAGTGACAGGGCTTTTTTACCTCTGGTATCATCTCCAACCATCTCTCATCTGGTTTACAAAACGTTGGATTTCAGGTTTATTATTCATGTGGCAGTGTGTCAAAACCCTGTACCCCTGGTTGTGAGAAGTTCAGCTTTTAGTATTTCAAGTTCACCTCAGCATGTCAAACCATTTCATGAAACCGATAACATGTCGGCTTAGGGATCCCTTCGGCCAAAAGCTGGCACTTGTTTTGCCTAGGCTGCTACAGCCTACTTAGGCGTTACAACGCTTCGAGCCATAGGCGGAAAACCGTTGCTGGGCGCTGCACAAATCGAGAAGTGTGACAAGAACCACAAGTTGTGCCAGCGGCTACCTGACATTGGTAGCGGAGCCAGGACGTTCCTGGCTGCCCTTGGCTTGCTGGCCTGGGCTCTACATCCTGGACTCCGTCGAGGCCTTCTACTTCTTCCTGGGCACCCTCACCTGGTGAACTACGCTAGCCCTACTTGCCTGAGGAGGTCTTTCCGTGGCGGTACGGCCTTTGACCCGGTTTCTGCCGAGACCTTCCTCGAACCGACTCCTACTTGGAGCTGCTGTTCATCTTGGACCTTCCGGACATTGACAACCTCACCTTGGACGTTCTGGCCTTTGTCAGCTTCACCTTGGGGTTGCGGGACTTTGACAACATCACCTTGGCCTTTCCGGACTTTGCCATTATCTCCTTGGACGTTCTTGTGTCCAACGACATTCGAAAGAATGACAACGGCAAAGAGCAGCAAAGAGCTAGCTTCTTGGGATGGAGAACCCTCTACTTGGGGAGACTATGCAAGGAAAGTGAGATTGCAATGGGAAATGACCCCACCTCACAAACGAAAGAGGTTGGGACCTGACCTAGCCAGTCGTCTGACTGGAAGAGCCTGGTCGATCATTCCAGCGCTCGACCATGAGAAGCTGGCGAAGAAGAATGGGACAAAGTACTTGCTGAAGTTCCTTCAGCAGAGGCTTTGCCGTACGGCAGTGCCGGATGCTGGAGCTCGACTTGAGGATCTTTTGATCCGCCTCAAGCGACCTCTTGGAATGGCGATGTCACAGTGGTCCAACGAGGTCATGGAGGCTTACAGACGAGTTCAACGAGCTTTGATTCGAGCCCGACAGCAACAAAAGCCCAAGGAGATGGACGTCAAGACAGTGAAGACTGTCTCTGAACCACAAGGTGAACCTCCAAGCAGAGCTATGTCACCGTTGAGACCTACGTCCTTGTCGAGACCTACGTCACCGACAAGCCCTACACGATCTACGGCTGCTGAAGGTGGACTTCCTCCTGTTCAAGAAGCTGATGATGATCGTGGACTCTATCAACCTGTTCCTGGTGATGAACCTGCAGATGAAGAACCAGCGAGAGAATGGACTGATGAGGAATGGCGACAATGGAAGAAGCAGCAACAGAAAGAATGGTATGGAGACGACTCCAGCTCTGGAGAGGATCATCCATGGGACGAGTTGGAGGTGGAAGACATCCAGGTACTACCTGATGAAGTACTTGGGTGGTTGTTGCTGAGAAGAGCTAACTTGAGTTCCTCAAGCAGGTTGGCTGTGCAATCTTCGGTGAACAACTCTCTCAAGTTCCAGGACTTGGAGATTGCTCTACGTGATCAAGAAGAAGAGTTGTTGCAGGCCGACCAGGGTAGGTCTGCAGGACACCAGAAACGACGAACCTACTGGGTTGAAGAGCAGGGCAATTGGGGTCTCCTCACCATGAACTCCGAGGACGTGGCTGACGAGATTGCGGAGATCCATTGGGTTGGCAACAAGCTGCCGGACGAGGTGTACGACCATGGCAACAACCTTGAGGAGCCCTACGAAGACGATGAGATCTACTGGACCTGGGAATCTGATGGATGGCATGGTTATCTTCAGGACAACTACGGCTGCTGGATGGAGACTGATGGACAAGGAGTTTACTGGTCTGCGGATGAGGCCTACATGGACTACACCCCGGAGGAGCAGAAAGAACTTGATGAGGCATACATGGCCTATGAGAACAAAGTGCGGACCTTCCAACAGAGCCGCCAACTTCAGAGAGCAAAGGGAGCCAGTCGAGGCTTCTATCCCCTTCCCATGCTTAAAGGAAAGAAAGGAAAAGGAAAAGGCAAGGGGAAGAAGGGCAGAGGACCCTACCACCAAGCTTCTACTTCGTCTTCAGCGACGACTACCAGCTCAAAGCCATTGTTTGCAGCTCAAGGTATGGACCGGAGCTCTACTACAAGTGGCACCGGCTGTTTCATCTGTGGAGAACATGGACATGGATTCAGAAATTGTCCAAGACGTGGACAACATTCAGCTGGTGGTGGCAAAGGATCGAAGAAGGGCACGTTTTGGGTGGAGGCTTTGACTTCGTCTTCACTGTCCTTCGTTGGCATGATCTTCCACGTGGAGGAGACCATCACCAACACTGCTGGATTTGGCGTATTGGACTTAGGCGCCACAGAGACAGTTGGGAGCTTGGAAGCGTTGGAAACCTTGATGGCATTGCGCTCTCAAGCTGCTGGACAAGCTGAACAAGTGGAGGTCTTCTATGGCCCATCTTCTCAAAAGCCGTTTCGCTTTGGGAATGGTGGAGTGCAACTTTCAAGCAGCTATGTGCTGATCCCTCAGAAGCTGGGCGACCAAACAGTACTTCTTGGACTCTACACGATCGACGCCGAGCAGGTGCCCATCTTGCTGGGGATGAAGACGCTTGTGAAGTTGGGGGCGGTGATCGACGTTAGCGGACGTTGGATGGTTCTAGCAAGTGTCTCACCGGAGGTGAAGATCCCACTCGCCAAAAGTCGAGCAGGCCACCTTTTGGTCAATTTGACTGAGGACTGGTTGACTCAAAGCCAGCCTTTGCAGGACGACATGAAGTCTTCTGCGGCATACATGGTGCTGGGTGGTAATGGGAGTGTAGTGTAGATTCAGCCATGTCAAAGACATCACGGAATTTCAAAGTTTCAAATCCCAGAAATACTACCCCAAAACCTTTGCCATCACAGTCTTCATGTGCAGCTGAAGCCGTCGTTGATCAGTGTGAGAATGATGATGAAACTATATGGATGATGCAAGATGAAGATGAGGATGTACACCATGGAGATGACAATCATGAAGTGCATGAAGGTGTTTTCCTCATGAACGATGATCATTCTCACCGACCGCTTCACCAAGTGGATCAAACTATGCGAGACCAGATCTTGAGATCTTTGGTGACTGCCCACGTTGATTGTGCACGTGAACGTTCACCTCTTCGCCATGGCCCCCAAGAAGGTGAAAGAGCCAGCACCAGTGACAGAGAAGTTCGACTGGAGCAGGACAGAGGGGCCACGAGCAGACGATCCCCGCACGACAGGCCCCCCGTGTTACGGGGAACACAGGCCCCAGCCTCCAGGACGAGGCAGCAAGAGTGGAGCCAACAAATGGGGGATCTGGAAGGGATGCGAGGAGTGTGGGCTTCGCCTTTCTTACACGCCAACGTGGGGGAGTCACGGCACTTATCGCCAAGCAGGTCCCCTACCAGCAGACGTTCAAGCTCAAGTACAGGAGAAACAACCTCCAAAGGGCTCTCCCGACCTGAACAACAAGAAGGTGGCTCTGGACGCTCAGGAGCGTTCGTTGCAGAACAAGCTGAAGCAAGTTCACCAGGAGAAAGCTCAGTGGGAGGAGGCGCAGCGCAAGAAGGATGCTATGACGCCCCAGAAGAAGGAGACAGTGGCGGCATCCACTTTGAAGAATATGAGGCCTGCGACTCCCCCGAGGATGACTTCCCAGATCGAGCCAAAGAACACCGTCCCTGGCCGCCAGTCAGAAGGTTCAGTGCCTTCCCAGAAGTCCGCCGCCCTTTGCACACAAGGGTATGCACCGGAGATCAACGAGGAGATGTACCAGACACCAGGGCGCAAGACGAGGAAGGCGGCAGAGACAGCCGAGGAGAAGGAGTACTCCGAGAGGCATCAGGAGGAGGACGGATGGAGCACAGTGTCGAGCCCTCCGGATCACAAGTGATGGTGATGGATGAGATCAAGCCGGAGAGCCAAGAGGCCGGAGTTTCACGGAGCCCGAATTCGACTTCAGCATGCAAGAGATCTATGGCCAGTTTTGCATCAAGTGCCTCAGCCTTTGGAACCTATGTGGACTTCCAGCACTACGAGTCCGCAACTGATGAGGATGAGAAAGGATTGGTTTCCAAAGAGCTGAGAAAGCAGGCAAGTTTCACACCAGGGGGCATTTTGCCATCTGGATCACCGCTTCGGAAGAAGCGCAAACAACCTGAGGATGAGGATGCAGCTGTGACCGACCGGTTGAAGCCTGAGGAGACTGCTTTCCTGGTGGAAGAAGTGGAGAAGTACCAGGACGCCATTGAGGAGCTCTTTGTCACACTGAATGTCAACGACCCAAACTATAAGGTGCCGACCATTTTGGAGCTATGTTGCGAGGAGAACAGCGGCATCACATCGGCTGTGGAGAGCCGTGGCGGTCGTGGCATTAGATGTGGACTCTTCAATGGGTGCGACTTGAACAAGAAGAGCGGCTTCACCAAGGCCTATAACCTCATCTCTCAAGAACGACCCGACGTTCTCTGGGTTGCTCTACCATGTGGACCCTCTTCACCCATCCAGAACCTCAACATGCTCACACCCGAAGGGTACGAGGCTGTGCAGAAGAAAGTGGCCAAGTCAAAGAAGCTGGCAGCCCGAGCTTTGTCTCTCATGGAGCATCAACTACAACTGGGTGGTGAAGTGGTACAAGAATGGCCACGCTAGAATGGTGGATGGAAGTTCAAGAGCATTGTGAACTTTTGGAGAAGACTGGAATACTATGAGGCTTACATCGACGGCTGTGCCTATGGACTTTGTGCACCCGCCGGCGATGGCCCAATCAAGAAACCATGGAAGCTGCGGAGTTCTACAAAGAGGATTTGGCAGATGCAGAAGCTTTGCAACTGCTCTCAACCACATGTGCCCTGTGAAGGAGGAAATCTCACTCGCCACACTGCCTTTTATCCTCGGAAGATGTGTCTTCAAGTTGCTCGGATGCTACAAGAAGTTCACGTTGATCTCATGAACAAGGTCTACGCCTTGGACATTCAGCCCGACTGCGACGTGGATGTTTTGAAGCAGTTTACAGATCAAGAGGTGCAGAAGACAGCGACGGAAGTCTTGAAACTCCATCGCAAACTTGGACACCCCAGCAGGCAAGCTTTTGTCAAGATGCTTCGAGATCGAGGAGCAAGCTTGTTGGTCCGTACCCTGGCTTCAATTGTTCATTGCCAAGATTGTCAAGAAGCTGCCATCCCACCGTCACGACGTGCAGTGACGATTGAAACAGCCACAGAACTTTGGGAGGTGGTTCAACTTGACAACATGGAGTTCACAGTGGGCAATGAGACTTTTCACTTTCAGGTCTGCATCGACGAAGCTTCTGGGTACGGGGCAGCTACGTTTCTTTTCAAACATCCAGTTTCTCAAAGCCGCAATGCAACTACGATGGAGTCCGTGGAGGCTTTTTACAAGGGTTGGATACAGTTTTTCGGGTATCCACGCATCTTGAAGTTGGACAAAGAGGGCGCTCACCGAGGCAGAGAGCTAGAGGAATGGGCAGAAGGCCATGGACTTGAGGTCATTGCCATTCCAGCTGAAAGTCACGGCCAGATCGGCCGAGTGGAGCGCTTGATCGGCACCCTCAAGAAGAAGCTGCTATCTCATTTGAGATCTTCAGATGCAACACCTGAGGTGGCAGTTTGGTCCATGATTGGGGCCCACAACCACATGACCAACGTTGCTGGATACAGTCCTGCACAATGGGTGTTCGGTCGCAACTTCAATGATGCGGAACGTCTTCATGATTCTCCAGACCTTCCATACTGGTCAGGTATGGCAAGCAATGCTCGCATGCAGCACAAGCTCCTTTGCAAGCTTGAGGCCGAGCGCAACCACCGGGAGATCGAAGTCCGGGAGAAGATGAATGCAGCTTTGAACACACAAATGACCAGACCTGTACGGTATGAGCCGGGCGATGTCATCTTCTACAAGCGATTTCAACCTCCTGGAGATTGAGCTGAACGTTCACATCAACTACTGGACGTTCCGAGGAGAAAGGTGGCAAGATGGTATGGACCAGCACGAGTCCTCGCCTTGGAGACCAAGATGACCTACCAAGGACATGTTCGACAGCCAAGTGGAATCGCATGGATCATTGCATCTGGCAGACTGAAGAAAGTGGCATGCAACCAACTTCGGCATGCCAGTGAAAGAGAACGATTGGTGGCTGAAGGAACCACACAGGTCACCACACCATGGACTTTTCAAGATCTTTCAGGCTTGATTTCCAAGGGCGAGTATGATGACGAGATCCTCACCGAGAAGCAGTTTCGAAAAGAAGCTCAACAAGTTCGACGACGATGGGAAGAAGATTCAGAGGCCCGACCGGGCCAGAAGCGTCAACTTTCGGAAGAGCTTCCTGATGCTTCATCAACGGGGCATGCGACATCATCTGCTGCACCTGCAGGAGATGCTACTCGGGTGAGAACTATGTCTCCAGTTCGTGAAGAAGAAGCCATCTTGGACTCTGATGAGGATGTTGCGGCAGAGGACTTGGATTCTCGACACCAAGTTCCACAAGAGTGGGATGCAGAACGTGTGATGGATGATCCAGCACATCAACCTTTTGGGGCGACTGCATCAGGACCTTTGTTTCAACATCCACCGTTCCTGGAAGCTCGACGACGACATGAGAGGCTGGAGAGACCATTTCATGTACAACGCCAAGATTTTCTTCAAGGCACTGGTGACAACAACTTCGTGGACTTTGAAGACTCTGCTGAGTTTGAGGCCACAGCCATCAACTTCCTTGAGGAGATCAACTTTGATGACTATGCCTTCGCAGTCACCTTGCCAACTCCAGCCAGTGAGGCTGATTGGCGTGCTATCGTGCGCGACCCCGCCAAGTTCACTGCAAAGAAGATGGCTAAGGGAGTTGAAGTCTCTTGGCAAAAGTTGAACGAGGAGCAGAGAACAGCAATGAAGGAAGCCAAGCAGATTGAGATTGATGAATGGTTAAAATCACAAGTCTGCAAGGCTGCTCTTGGACCTGTTCCCGCATCACGCTTGATGAAGATGCGTTGGGTGCTCACCTTCAAAGCCACGGATGACCCGAAGACCGTCAAGGCCAAAGCGAGGTTGGTGGTTCTTGGATTTACGGACCCCGATCTCGGCGCTGAAGATGTCAGGTCACCGACGCTGAGCCGACGGGGCAGACAAGCCCTACTGCAGCTTTCCAGCCATCGAAAGTGGCAGACGTGGAAAGCCGACGCCAAAGCGGCGTTCTTGCAAGGAAGGTCTAGCCAATTGAGGAGACAGATCTTTGGAATGCCTGTCTCAGAACTTCAAGAGGCAATGGGCCTACCAAGAGGTCAGGCAATCCAGTTCCTGAAGGCTGCTTATGGACTTACAGTGGCACCACGCGAGTTCTACCTCCTTGTGGATGAGATCCTCCAAGGGCTACACCTTCAACGCCTCAAAACAGATCCCAGCATCTGGGTTCTCAAGACGGAGGACGAGCATGGCAAGATTCAGGTTCATGGCGCTGTTGGCAGCCATGTGGACGACTTCTTGCTCATCGGCAGCGAAGAGAATCCAGTTTGGAATTCTTTTCTGGAATCCTTTCGCAAAGCTTTGAGATGGAGCCCATGGGAGCGCAGTCCAATGATGCATTGTGGAGTTCATCTTGAACAAGATCTACATGGAAATTGGCATTTGAGCCAAGAGGAGTTTTGTCAGGGGATCAACCAGATCGAGGAGGATGGCACCACCAAGGAGCTCACCACGAATGAACGACATCAATGCAGAGCAGTGTTAGGCGCAGCTCAATGGAGGTGCTACCAAACAGGTCCTCAGCATTCAGCCAAGCTGAGCCATTTACAAAGCCTACTTCCAAGAGGTGATCGACAGACACTCAAGGACATCAACAAATTCGTCCGCGAGCTCTATCACCAAAAGAATGAGGGAGTTACTGTGTTTGACCTCCAGGCTGACTCCGACGAGGACATCGTCCTGGTTGGCTGGACAGACGCAGCACTGGCGAATCGTGTGGATTTAACGTCCACTGGTGGCTACATCATTGGCTACGTGCACCGCGACATGCTGGAACGCGGAGTCGCTGGACCAGTGAGTTTGGCAAGCTGGTCAACCCACAAATTGCGAAGAGTGTGCCGATCTTCGTTGGCAGCTGAAGCCCAGGCGATGTCTGAATGCGAGGCGGAGCTCTTCATCAATCGCATTTTGTGGCAGGAACTTCTTGGAAAGAACGTGGATCTTTCCAACCCAGCGACTACAGCAGCTCTCACCACAGCAGCTCTGGTCACGGACGCCAAGGCGCTCTACGACATGTTGCAGCAGAAGGACATACCCCAGATGAATGCCAAGGAAAAGCACACAGCTTTGGAGATGCTGGGACTGGCTCAACACCTGATGGAGCAGAAGACGATCCTTCGCTGGTGCAACAGTGATCAGCAGCTGAGTGATGGACTCACCAAAACGGGAGCCCAAGACAAAGTAGCCAAGTTTTTGAACAATGGCCAGAGATGGAACTTAGTTTTCGATTAGAAATTCACAGCAGCAAAACGACTTAGGGCTGCAAAGTCCGTTGCTGCAGTAGATTTCACCACAAATGCGGATCCCAGTTGGCTTGAGGTGCTGAGTCGAACTTCGGGGCATGTGAGAAGTTCAGCTTTTAGTATTTCAAGTTCACCTCAGCATGTCAAACCATTTCATGAAACCGATAACATGTCGGCTTAGGGATCCCTTCGGCCAATAGCTGGCACTTGTTTTGCCTAGGCTGCTACAGCCTACTTAGGCGTTACAACGCTTCGAGCCATAGGCGGAAAACCGTTGCTGGGCGCTGCACAAATCGAGAAGTGTAACAAGAACCACAAGTTGTGCCAGCGGCTACCTGACACTGATGCTTGGTTCCTTGCTTCTGGGGGTTTGCTTTGTATCTAGGGTTTTGCTTTCCGAGCTCTGTACACCACAACATTGGAAGCAGGCAGCCGTGCCAGCAACCACAGACCATGACCATCAAAAAAGGAAACTTTTTAGCACATTTTGGCACCACCGTCAAACATCAGTGTTTGATAAAAGTAACATATTGCAAAGGTTTGATGCCAAAACTTTGCAACCTCAAATTTTAAATGCAGACAAAAAAGGTATGTTCAAATACTTTTGTATCCTTGCGGTGCCCTGGGGGGAATAGCTTGGAAACTATACTGGTGATGTCTTGTGGGCGCTTGGAATCACAATGGATTTTCATTGCTTTGTTTTCAATTCAAAAGCGAAATGTGTGAAACTAGTGTTTTCGGATCAGAACTATAGTAAACTGAGGCTATATATATATATATTTATTTATTTATATATACATACACTATTACAAAATACTTCATATATAACACAGAAACACCAAATAATATATATTTATATGTGTGTGGTTTAATGTAATTATATTTCTCGGATCGCCCGCCCACCGCTCGGCTGTGGCATTGCCACACGTTGAAGATGGCCTCCTGCCAAGTCGGGGGGCCAAGAACCAAATGAATTTGATTCCAAGAGGTCTGGAACCGAAAACATTTTCATGCAAAAGTGCAAACAAACATGTTCACTTTAAAGTTGGTATTTCGGTATTTCCCTTTGCCACAACCTCGCCTCTCTCCGTGTGTTTGCTCCCATTGGTGCACCTGAGCGAACTCCGCTTTCACAAAATGTATGCAGATGTATGCAGGGATTTTTCTTTTACCAAGCGTTTGCGAAGAGTGCTTTGTACTGCTTTGCGCCATGCACTGCCATGCAAAATGAAGTGAACAAGCGTTTTTCACCACTGCTAAGCACGACCGCATCAATCCTCTTTGCGGTGCAACTTGAAAGTGATCACTGCATCGGTTTGCTCCAAAAAGCAAAAGCACTCGACGTTGCATGACCACTCTGGCGATTGAACTACGGTTGCATTGGACACTTCAAACATAATTTCATCCTGAGATACAACGGAAGACCCAGGAATACGATGCACGAAATAATTGTATACCCACATCAGCAGGGCACCAGCTCTTGAATCTTCATCGACTGGTTCAAAGTCTTGTGTAAGACCATTTCCAAATTTCATTTGGTATTCATAGCCATTGGGCGGCTCACCCACTTGATGCCATGTGATACCTCCTTGGCAAAGATTGGCGAAGATTCAGGTCGAAAACACTTAGTAAACAAAATTCAGACGAGAGTCCCATGATCGAAGGTGCCAATTTGGAATCCATCTTGGACATCACTGCTGAATTTGTCATGTGAGCAAATCCTTGAGTCATAATGTTCCGGAATGTTTCACAAGATTTTGCAAGATTCCATTGGAAGTGTTTCCAACATCAAGCAAGTGTTTGACCAATGTTTTCCATGCCCAACTGGTTGACAAATTTTCATCAACGTTTTTGGACACCTCGCCGCCATGACTCAGGTCCAACGCAACTTCAAAATTTACCCGCATTGCAGGCAGCTGGCACTGGGATCCATAGTTCAGCCCACCAAAAGGTCCTGCAATGAATGGTAATTTGCTTGGATGAATCTGCATTGGAATGAGACTTTCATGATTTTCATGGTATGTGGAATAATATTGGAAAGGGGTTTCAATGGTTTTGCGCCTCAATTTCTCGGTCGAGAGCCATTTCCTCTTCTTCCTCCCCTTCTCCAGCATATTCTTCCTCATTAGGATCCTCAGCCTCTGCTTCACCCCCGCCGCAGGCTCCAGATGGAGCTCCACCCTCAGAATGTTTGGACTTCGTTTTCGCCACTTCTGCCATGGATTCCTGCGATAGTGTCAAACTTTGTGAACTTGGATGGATTGGTGAAAAACTGTCACAATTTGTCAACTTGGTGTGTCTTGGTATGTCTTGTCAACTTGTGATACACTTCGTGAATCTTCGTGAGTTTTAAACAATGAAAGATTTAGAAACGAAATTGAACAAGGGCCAGAAGTTTGAAAGATGTAAGAAAGATTGCCATGTGAAAACTGGATCCTGAAAGATTGTACCAAAACTTGGATTCACAGTACGAACAAGATTCATAGAGGGCTTTGGCAGCTGCCACATCCCCTTTGGTTCGCTTCAGCTCATCCCGCACAGCAGCCTGAAACATGATGACAGCATGACAGAATGACAGAATCACAGAATGACAGAATCACAGAATGACAGAATCACAGAATGACAGAAACACAGAATGACAGAAACACAGAATGACAGAAACACAGAATGACAGCATCTATGCCAAGCAGCAGCAATCCCTTCCAAGTCATCCTCGCAGATATCTGGGTGAGGCTTCACCTTGATGCATTGGAAATGAGAATCAACTGAAATGACATCATCTCGAATTTCTCAACAAACCAAATGAGTTGGAAATGAATCAACTGACACGCAGTTTAGATACTCTGACAACTTCCTTTTTGAAGAGCTTGATGCTGTAGACACCATTGGGGTATCGCGACTTGGATGTGCTAATATAGTCAGGGCCCTTTCCACGACCTTTTCCACCACCTTTGCCACCACCTTTGGCAGGCTTCTTGATTGCCTGCTGACCCACACTGGACGAGGCCGACGCTGCAGGTCGTTTCAAAGCCTTTTTTTTCGGTGATGGCTTCGGCTTCGGTTCAGCTGACTTTTCGGGAGATTCCTTAGTTTTTTTTTTCGGAGATACCTTGGCTTTGCTTTTGCCCTTTGGTGGTGGCTTCGGCTTTGCTACCGGCTGGCCATCATCATCTGACAGTTTGTCAACGGCATCCAAAGCCATGGCTGTTTTGATAGGAACTCTCTCGGAAAAAGCTTGAGTTGCAATCAAAATAAACATCAATGGTTTTCATTGAGGAGACGCTTGTGACTGAAAACCAGGGGTGAAATTTCGAAGACACTCAGTGTGAATCCAAGATACTGATTCGCTGATGCAGGTTTTTTGACCCGAAGTTTGGTGCTATCATTGCCAACGTGTGGCAACCCAGGCTTCGTGTGTGCCCCCCGCTCAAGATCAATGGGCTGCTTAAATCCAGTTTGAAAGCTGTAAATAAAGTCTACTTTGTTAATGTTGCAGGGGGGCTCACAACTCCCCATGCTGGTTGCTGCCAAGTACAAAAATTGGCATCACCAAACATTGACATCTCTATTGCACCTTCATGGCCGTTTTGGCCGGCAATGTTGTCACAGATTTGATGTAGTACTTCGGCTTCACGGGCGAGATCAGAGCTGGTACTCCGTCAGTCACTTTGACCTTTCAGGGTGAAACCACATTAGATATACCATGGAAGGGTTGGCAGCAGGGTGATACCACATTAATTAAATATACCATTAAATTAAATATACCATTGGTCCCCCACGCAAACCTCCCACACGATGGAGAAATTGTCACCCTTGGGCAACGCTGTGAAGTCATTGAAGCATCCGCCCATTTGTGACGCTCTAACACCCACCATGTCTCCTTCCATCGCCTTGGGACGGAAGCAATTGATCTTGTTCTTTGGGATGATGGTGTAGCGGAATGCTCTTTCGACCTGCCCAGACGGAGTCTCCTGTCAGGGATGACGATAAATGATTTTTCATGCATATGTTTGTAATGATTTTGTTCAACAATCTAACCAACCCATATTTTGTCTTTACACCATCCTTCATCATAGGTGTCATGTCATGGTCGATAATAGAGACCTGCGTGACACCACGAGTTCTGGTCACCCAAGCCATGACGTCACTGATGGTCATGAGCTGTTTCTTGTCGGGCATCACCAAACAGACTGTCTCAAGGTCGCTTCTCACCAACCAAGGAATCTGGTCTGTGACGGTCGACGCATCTCCTGTTGAGGCCGGGGATGGTGATTGTGGAAGTATGCTGTATAGGCCATGACTTAGATTAAGTATAGTGGTTTAAAGTTTGTCAATGTATTTGGGATGAATGACTTAATTACGCAACCTGGATTTTGTGAAACCCCCCACATTCCTGTAACCACCTCCGCAAAAGAGCCAGTGTTGAAACCGAACAGTTCACGGGCACAGAGCTCCTGGTTGGAGTCCGAGTCATTCAGCAGCCACATGATGTTCTCATTGGTATCCTCGCCCACCACAAGTTCTGAATTTGCCAGCTTAGCTGAGCAGCGGAGCCTGATGCAAAGTATCGTGGGTGAATATGGCATTTGAAAAAAGGAACAATGAACACAAAAAAGAAACAAATTGACGAACATGAAGTCAGTGAAGAAACGCTCTTTCCGCATTGAACTCCTCCATGGTTTTGGTCTCCAAGTCGATCCGGCGATCGAAGTTGGGCGTCACGTCGCCTTCGAAGTCTGGAGTTGCCAGTGTCCGACACACAGACTCCCGAGAACCAGAGGTATCATTGGAAGTGTCAGCAGCAGCTTGGGACTCACCTATGGATCCTTTCACTGCCACGGCAACGTCTTTGGCAGATGAAATCAAATCCTCAAGAGCTTTCAGCCCGTTTGCATGGCTGTTCTGGTACTTGTTCTTGATCAAGTCTGGAATCCTCAGCCAGGAAGATATACCGAAACGATTGGGAAACTTGATGGAAACTTGAGTTACATCCCTATACTATACATATTATATATATATGTAATATATATGTATATATACATATGATATATATTTGTATGTAATATAATATATATATATGTAATATATTTATATTATATTATATATGTAATATATGTACATGGAAATTATAATTAATTATATAATACATCAGGAAAATTTATGTGGAAAACATAAACGTTTCCTGAAGCAACCTTTGAGAATCTTCACCACTCCATTGGCAACTGTCAATGACTCCAAGTTGGGCATGGTCTCTCCGAAAGCTGCTTGTGGCCGTCTTTTGGGTCCAGCGTCTGGGGCCTGATCCCACCACTTTGACATGAGCAAGCCTGTGATGGTGCCCGAAGATTTGCTCATCATTTGGGAATCATCATTCAAGAACAACCCCATGTAGTGGAAGCATGGGCCCGAAGCATTGTCCACCAGCTTTTTCAGTTGCAAGTTTGCGCAGGCCATCGACCACTCGCTAAACCTAGGCCGGATTTGGGAAATGATTTTTTGGGCTGTGTCAGGGTCACTCAAAATGTTCTTCATAATAGCTTTCAATCCCTTATGTGGGTCACTCAGCAATGCTATGAAATGAACTTGAAGAAACGACAGATGTTTGAACGAAGCTTTGATCAAGTAACCTGTTGGGGAGGCAATCAACGATCACCACAGGCTGGTCCTCCTGTAGCTGCATACCTTCCAGGAGCTTGCTGACGATCTCTTCTGTCGCTGCCACGCCCCGTTGCTGAACCTGAGGCGCACAGCATTGCAAAGCTTATTGAAAAGATTTCGGGAATGATGTTTTTTCCAAAGATGCCTTGAAAATTGTATGAGTAACCATGCCAGCATACAAAATAAAACCAAGAAACTCTCCAGTGGGGAGCAAGTGGGCGATCTTCTTCGGGATTCTGCAGCTCCCCCACACGGCTGCGTGGGATGGAAGTAATTGAACCCATAAAGGCTTTGCTCCTGGAAAATTCCTTGTTGACGCCGGAAGTCAAAGCCAAGCCTAGGTAACATGTTGGCTTGTGTGACACGGAATTTTGACAACATGTGGATTTCAAACTGCAATTTAGAAACATTGCTGACTGGTTTTCCGCTTGTCGCCACCGTGCACATTGTCAGAAAATACCAAGCTCAGCTCGTGCACATCGAAAGCCCTTGGATTGAACACAGATGAGGCAAAAAAACATATCTTTTCCTGCTGTTTATACATATTTGCACGATGTTGCACAAACGTGATTGTAACGGTGCATAAACAGACAAGTATCGCAACGGCTTTATCTTCCACCAATCTGCGATGCTGCAAGATTGCAGTATGCGTGGCACTGCTGTGTGGTTGTGGCAGCAGTGCAAAGCACATTGTGCCGGTGTTTCCTCCACACACAGCCTGTGCCAAGGACAGACTCTCGTCCACGCTCAATGCACCTCAGCAATTCACAAATACAGAAAACAGCAGTTCCACACACCTTTGAAACATCATCGGCCAAGGAACGCTGTGGCCACAATGTGCAATCAATGACGATGATGGTCAGCCTAGGATAAGAGTTGAGATTTGAGACCTAGGACCTAGGATTTAGATCAATAAAATAAGGTACTACATACGTCAAGGAACGCTGATTTGCCCAAGGCAGCCTGTTTTTCCACAATGTCTCCCTGAGCAAGCGTCAAAGTCTTGTAGCATGTGAAGCTGTGATGCTTCTCCATGTAGTTTTTCACCTTTTCCTTCCCCGTCTCAAAGCGGTTGTTCAGGTAGTGCATGTCCAATCCACCCTGGAGAGAAGTCAGAAAGATAGATATGAATGTGTTGATTTGAAAACCCCAGCCTGTTGGGCTGCAAAGACCTTCCACTTGTCTGCCCAGCTCTTGAGTTCTGACAAGTCGTTGGCAACTGACAATTCGGTCTGTGCCCACGTCGTTTGGAGAAGCGCCGCTTCTAGCCTGAAGCCGGGTTGTTGAAAATATATAATCAATACATATCCATACTGCACACGAAAAGTCATGTGAGAAACAATGTTCTATAATGATATCCATCATCAGTCACCATGTTGGACCATTTATGCGACGAGAGGCTCCGCCGCTTTGGCAACCTTGTCTTCCTCAACCTGACCGGAGAAGGCACGAAAGAAGTTGGGGAAAATAGGAATTCTCACATGGCCTTCTGGCGGAATTTGCCAACATGGTTCTTAAAGACGTCGATTCGAGAAAGATCACAAGGTGGCACGCTCGACTGAAGCAAATTGAAAAGATCGGAATCGGCATGTCGGTGCAGAAACCTGTCGCTGATGTTGTGGACACATCGGACACATATGTCATAGACATGTGAAGTCACAAGTCCTTGAAAAAATAGTTGGGGTATGTTGGGGTAAATATGGACAAGATATGGACAAAAAACGTCGATGTGATCTCATCGACAACTTCAGCAAAGTAGTTGGTGGGCACAGTTTCCTGGAATTTCGCCAAAGCTGCCAGGAACATACAGCAGATTCGCTGCAGATGTTCCTCGGCATGGGCATTCAGAATTGCATCCAGAAGCATTGACAGTGTCATTTATGAATTATGGCAAATAAAGTTCCGGTTCCTGCAAACTGTTTTCGTCAATAATAGACAAGTCCATTTTGCATCAAAACGTCAATAAAATAGTATGAGACTCCAACTGTCCTTGTCCCCATGGTTTCCTCATCTTTGGCGCAAGAGACTCAAAGTCTTTTCTCATGCGGGTAAGCATGAGGTCCACAACTTCCTGGGAATTGCTCAAATGACGGTCCCAAGCATGGTAGGAATTTCCAGTTCCAACGTAGTCCATGTTCATGATTCCGGCCGCCAAGCCGTCATGCAAAATGAACCGAGGTTGTCCAAATATCCTGATCAAAGCTCAAAATTGCGAGATAACATCCAGTCAAATAACATCAGCTTTGAGATAACATCAATTGTGGGATTACAGAGATTACATCATTTGTGTTTGACCTGGCCTTACCAAATCTTTGAGCTGCTTCCTTGTGCTGGCTGAGACCTCTTTCAAGAGATTGGTTGCCGCGCCAGCCTCAGCTCGGCCCACTTGGTAGGCTGACGCCAAGGCAGCCGCTGAATCCATCACCTGCCATGGCAACTGATCTTGAATAAGATTTCAATTGGGTAAGATTTCAAAGAACTCTAGCTATTGGATACTGTAAAATTTCAATTGGGTTTATGATTTCCAACTTCCAATGCACAAAATTTTCAATTATGTAAGTGTATGATTTGCGCTTTCCAGCCTCCATGTTCTGAATGGCAATGTCCCCTGAATACCCTCCTCTCAGCATAACCTCCATTTGGTGCAAGAGGTTGAAGGCGTTTGGACGCCGTCTGATGCTGGAGGCGAGCGTCACACCTGCAAGTGGGAAAGGTTGAGACAATGTTATAATTCAAGAAAGAACTGGGCACCTCTGTTGGTCGTTATGACATCAGCCAGATCTGCATTCTGTTTGGTGACGTAGATGGCGCTCAAGGACCTTACATCAGCTCACTTGGTTCCAAGAAATTTTCCAAGAGATTTTCCAAGACCATTCCAGCATATTCCAGTGAAACTTCCCATCAAATTTTAAGACCCACGCTCCACCACCGTTTTGGGCAAAGCCTGGTGGTTCCAAATCAATTGGTCAATCTGTAATGATGTGGTTTCCAAATTGTTTCAACTAGCCCTGCCTCCATCAGAGGTGGGAATTCAGAGCAAGCCAACATGAGCAGTAGTGCGCATGTAGCACGGTTGAAGCCCTTCACTGTGAACACATGTTGAGGTGGTAGAAGTAAGCCATTCGCATTGAAGTCGGCGCATGCAACCTGCACCTTGATGCTAGTCAACCATCTGTCCTCACAGGCCGTGACTACTAATTTTTCACCACCGGGAACGTCTGGGGATGTGAGACATCCGTTCAGGCACATGAGCTGCAGCAAGCATTTTTGTACCTCCTGAGTCAAGGCGCAAAGAGCTGATGCAATGACAGAAAGAAGTCAAGAAACATTCAGAAAAATAGGTCATTCCTTGAGGTGTCCATACAGAAAAAAAGAAACACTGACATTGAACCCATGTCAGAGTTTCAACGTCGCATGAGCCTCTCAGGCCAAAATCCAGCCGGTGTGGCAGCATCCACGGACGCAAGATGTGAGGCCCCGGCGCTGCAAACATCTCTTCAGTGGCATATTGCCTTGGTTGGCTAGATGATAACATTTGATTAGGATACTTGGTGGGAGTTTTGAGGCATTGACACACCTTCCAAGGGTGGGAAGCTCTCCTCCACAAACTTGTAGAAGTCGATGCATTTGTCCTGCAAACGCACAGGTCTTGGAGAGATTCGATGTGCACATGGTGCTGGCTGGCCTTGGTTTCCAGCATCTTGTTCAGATAGAAGTCCAGACTTCCAGAGCTTTTGACCACTTCATCCCTTAGGTACACAACTTTCGCAGTGAAACAGTCATCTGTGGATAGCAATAACCAGTAAAGACATGTAAAGACAGGAAATATAAAAGGAAACCATTTTGGCTAGAGGTCATCCATTCATTGATCATCTGCATGTGCACCATTTTGGAAGAATCAGCAGGTATCGAAGGAAGGGATGCCAAAGCTGTCTTAGCAGTTTTGGGACCCTTTTGATCGCCATGACCTCCTGACTTCTTTCGCTTTGGCGCCATTGAGGCCTGGAGACCAATACCAGTTGGTACCTGGCACGTGTGGAATCCCAATTTCCATCAATAGTGGATTGCAAAGTCAGCAAATTACTTTTTTTTGGATATATGATGTCTTTCGCTAGTTTCGATGTGCTCTGTAGTGTGCAACCCGGAAGTTTTTTTTTGCCGATTGGCATCTACCCCCAACTGTTTTTGTGCCGAGTGGCACCTACCCCCAACGGTTTTTGTGCCGAGTGTCACCTACCCCCACAAGTTTTTGTGCCGAGTGGCACCTACCCCGAAAGGTGTTTGTGCCGAGTGGCACCTACCCCCCACAAGATTTTGTGCCGAGTGGCACCTACCCCGAAAGGTGTTTGTGCCGAGTGGCAGCTGCTACACTTCACAAACGGTTTTGGGGAAGTTCTGCCCCTGTAGTCTTTAGTAGTCTTTGCAGGCTTTCCAAATTTTGTGCTGGGTTGCAGCTAGAAGCATTCACAAAAGTGAGAAAGTTAAGGCCATGAAAGAAAGGATTCTGAAGCCCTATTCGAGTCACAAAAATGACTTTCAAAAGAGACATGGTGTTTGTGCTTGCAGACATTGTCATTAAGCACAAACCAGTGTCTACAGCTCAAGATCCACAGTTGTGGGGTTCCCAAAATCCTGACAAACAAAATTCATAGTGAACAGATACGTTTTTGTGCTTGGTGACAGCCCCCAAGTTCACAAATTGGAGCATTTCTAGGACCATCGCCTTTGTGCATGAACAGCCTTCACGAACTGAAGATGCAAAAACAAAGCTGAACATATGCTTCACAAGATTCACTCGAGATGTCGGGATGATATCGCAGAAAAACTGTCGCTGAATTCTAATGGTCTAGACTTTTTTTTCCTCACGCAGCTTGAGACTTCTACTCTCATCCCCAGTCAGGATAGGCCCCTTAAAGTCAGGGAAGCTTCACAAACAGAAGTCTTCCGACAACGCATGGTGCACAAAATTAAGTGCTTGAGCGCAAAGCAATGACAGAAAAATTATGAAATCAGAAATCTGAAATAGCTTCGGTCAGTCACAGTGAAACAAGTCAAGTTGATCAACAGTGCCAAGCAAGCACTCCATCCCCAGGAAGCTGCCGAGAAATATAGGAGTACTACCGGAACCAAATGATCCTATATCATCCGAAAACATGATGACATATTTCGGGGAACAAGTTCTAAGATATTTCACCCGCAGCTTGCATAGCCGACTCTACGATGGATACAGCTGTGGAAATATCCACACCTTGATTCCATAGACGTGATGCTGCTCTGTACAAAGCTGCATGATGAACAGCTTTCCGATACTTTGCACGTTCACTTTTGTGGGGCTTTTCAGCCACAATTTTCAAATCGTTTGGAGCCTTAGATGACGTTTGGTTGTTATAAAACAAGATTTCGATTGCTAGGAAGTGCTGCATGTTGCTTCCAAGGGACCGCCTCCAAATCCTGTCCTTGTGCTTGAGGCTGCCAGTGAACACCCGGCCCCACAGCAGGTCCAAGGGTCGGTACCAACCTGGGCAGAGTGATATCAATGTGGAATTTGAAATTGAAATATCAGAGTGATATCAAGGCAGAGTAAACTTTGAAATATCTGGAAACCTGACCTGGAAATTTCAAGCATTGGATATCTCCCGAAAACGTTGTTGGCGAGGTCTTCAATGCACTCCGCTGCTGGCACCATGTCGAAAGGCGGCTGACCTCATGTGGTGGGAAATGTGGCCGATGTTCTGTGATGTCTTCATTCTGAGTTTTTGACGCAAGATGCTGGCATACTTCCTCAAAGTTTTGTTCTCTTCGCTCTCTGTGTTCACGGGGTCGTGGACAAAGACTGCCAAGTTTACTACATGAAAGCTCTCCAAATTACAACTCTTCGATTATTTCATTAAACATCATTAAACCATTGGCCTGGAGGTGATGGCGCCATTGCAACCTTCATGGCTTGGCAGGCTGGCAAATACAGAAAGACCTTTGGCTGATACTCCGCATCGGACATGAACCGCTTTGTCCTAGGAAGTCGGTCCATATCAGAACAAAAACACATGACTGAAACACCAGCATTCCGGTCCTCAGCACAACATCTGACAGGCTTTGAGCGACGTTTCTTCGCCGCCAGAACTTGTCGATGAGGCTGTCGCGGGTCAATCCTGGAATCCAAGAATCATGATAATGTCAAATGGTATTTTTCTTTCAATCTTTTGAGTCCTGCATCACACAGCCGTTCGAGACGAAATGTGTGTGGTGCACCAGGTCCACCGATGCCCTTCAAATGAGGGTTGTCCAAGAAATTGGCGAAGTGACATTTCCTGGGCAACTGGTGTTGTGTTGGGGTTGTCAGTTGGGGTTGTTATTTAGTTCCAAATAGCAGTGTCAATTATTTTCGGGAAATAGTGCCAAAACATGCCAAATAACAATTTGATTTTCCAATGAAATACCCAAAGACCAGTCATGAAAACTGTCAAACACAACCACTTCCCGTTTCGGTTCCTGCGGTCGAACAGATTTGTTGTCCAGAAAGCTTTGCAGGCATTTCTGGAAGTCCAAGATCGTCCAAAGCTCCCGATGCCGCTCGAGGAACGATGCTGTCAAAGCAAAATGACTGTCAATGTCTTCGTGGCTATGACCACTTTGAAGAAAACATAATTCACATCCTCTCAGTCTGTGAGTTGCAATCATCGAAGCCATCACTCGTAGTGATGTCTGATGTTTCAACTCCTTCGAACAGTTGTCGGCCTCCAGTCTCAAAAAGACCTTTGTAAAATCCAAATGGGACAATGGCTTTGTCAGGACATACGCCAGAAGCTCTATGGTTCTCGACCCAGAGGACTTGGTGTTTTGCGGACTGAGCCCAGTGACGACACAGTGGCCATGACAGATTATTGTGGTCGCCTGCAAACGAGGTCGTGACCAGCCTGCGAATTCCTTCGCAGACAAGGCCTCCCCTCGTGGGTATGAGTGTTTTTGCTGATCCATCCCGTCTTTTATCATAGATAGGGAAGTGATTGGAGCTCCACTCACAGCTTGGGATCTGGAATCTGCTCGGTGACTCCAATAAACTTGGCGGTCACGGTATTGCCTGGATAGATGATCTTTCAGAAGCTTCATTTGACCCAAACGTGCGGGCCCTCTGCCAAGCCTCTTGATTATGAGGCGATGGCGAATGCAAACGCTGCATTTCGCATGATGCCCAGTCTGTCGAATGCGAAGCTTGTTCTGAAAGTCAACCATCCATACCTGGGATAGAGGGGGAGATATCTTTCAAAAATATCATGATAATTACATCTGAAAATTGAGTGGTTCCTGAACAAACATTGAAAAACTTAGTAACTTAGCATTAATTTGCAAATGAGATACACTTGTGAAGAGTTTCCGTGAAATCAGCAAGTCAGGATTTTCCAACCGACAAAGTCTCAAATAGTCCATGAACTTGCCAGGGGGTATGTGACGCAAATCAGTCCTGGGCAAGCTTTTGTCGTCAAACCGATGCTGTCCCTGGCGAGGTCTTTTGTTGCTTCCAGTGTGGTTTGGATCAGGCAGGGTCTCGCCAGCTTGTTCCCACAAGGCATGAAGAAAGTCATACACAGCTTGTCTCTTGACACTTGGTTCTTTGGCAGCACGTGGTAAAAAACGTTCATCCATGGGGCACTTGTCCAACCCAGCCCGTGAAGCACTTGCAATGGTTTGGAATCTGTGTTTGCCCAACCCCAGTAATCGCATGAATCCACGATTGCATATCTCCTGATTGAGAAGGGACAAGTGCCTCGTTCCACGAACTGATTCCTGGTGGCCTTGCATCAGGTTGAAGACCTTCGGTCAACAAGTTTTTCGCAAATTTATTTCATGAAACGCTTTGAGATTGCAATATGTTGCATGGTCATGATAAGGTCGAAACATAATCGTCCTGTTCCAGCTTTCCCAAGCCAGCCATAGTTTTTCGAACCTTGAGCAGTTTCTCAAACATGTCAGTTCTTCTGAATGGCAGAAAGCACTTGCACAAACAGCCGCAAGAGCCTTCCACTCTGTGTCTCAAAGCACGTCCATCAACCATTGGCACTGTGAAAAGAGACTTTGCCTTCCGTTTGGCAGGTCTCCGCTTGGCGATTTCGGACCCTGGTGTAGGCAGGGCGATGATCTGATGTGTTTCATCATCGCTCAAAGTATCTATGTTTTGAACTTGATGCATTGAGTGGAGCCGGCAAGTGTCCTACAGGGAACTGAACATCAGAGACTGAAGTGCATTCTGTGATGCGGGACCAAAACAATAAGAAGGCCCGAGCAAAACCCAGTCCTTCCAATCTGAGCTGTTGCTATCACGCCCCTGCCTAGGTCAGACAAACCACTTCGACAGGCTTGGCTAGGTCATGTTGGGATGTTTGAGTTTGGGACTGACTGTCGGCCACGGATTTCCACACAGGAATTCCAAACCCATCAATGCATTGGTTCCAATGATGTGGTTCTTTGATTGGCTCTCTTGCGGTGTTTCAACTTTTGTACATTTGGATCTACAACAATGGTATATACTCACTATGTATATATATATATATTATATCTATATATGGTATATGTTCACTATCATATACCTATTTTGGCTTATGTACCTATAATATCCTATAATATAAGGATTGGTATATGTGCAGCATCTCTGTGATGGAGCAAAAACACCCTTCAAGCATCTCCAAGCCAAATGGTGACAAGGTTGCAAGTTGCCGCCGACAGGAATGCAAGCTGTCTCGACTCTTTGCGATTCAAACAGGACGGCAGCACACAGGCCGACCTGGACCCCCAAACTCAGTTCTGTGTGAGCCAAAAACCTGCAATGATAGTCATGCTTGATGTAAGTACTGAATTGCCTGCCGAATCAACATCATTTGATACTGAAGCTTTGGTGCCATGCAGTTGCTGAATCATTTCATTCATTTTGTATCCTTTTGCGCTCTCTGGGAACTCAATGGGGCACCGCATGTGTCCACCAAAGCTCTGCTTTGTGTGAATTTGCTCATGAATTTCTAATTGAAATTTTAGCAACAAAGCTGGTGGGATTTAACCTCTCTAGCCATCCCTCTCAGCATGGCCCAAGAACTGGAGGGCAAGGAACGTCACTGCCGGCATGGCAATGTTCCCCACTGCCTTCAGGCGCTGCTTGTCCGACTCTCCCTGCTCTGCAGAGAGCCAAGTCTCCATGGAAGGACGGGACTCAGGGTGCCATTCCTTTTGCGGCCACTCCTTCAAGATCTTCTTGTCGAGCAAGGTCATTCCCTGACGGAAATCAAATCGATTAAATCTTTGGTTTGACATGTTTTGACTGATTCTGAATGTGGATCTTGAAGAATTTGAAGACTGAACTTTGTTGAGATGTTGGGCCTCGAAGAACCGAAAGTTCTTCCGGCAAATCAGGAAGAAGCATCGCTGCCGCCAGACCTCAGGACAGCAGGTTGGCCGGAGTCATCCAGTGTTTTGTTGGATTGAGAAGCAGACCTCTGCTCCGCAATCATGCCCAGTCAAGGTAACCCATCGCAGCTGCAGATCACGACGCTTGCAGTTCTGCAGATTCAGATTCAAGTGTGCACTAATTTTAGAGATGATTTTTTTGAGAAGCAGTCCTGGATCATGAACTGCATCACATCATCCATCGCCAGGATGTTTCCAACGTTTTCCAGAAACATCCACATCCTCATGAGAAAATGAGAAATAAAATAACCGATGATCATTCAACATTTTGACCATGCTTTGTCGCAATTTGCAAACTGGAATCAATTGGTCACTGGAGTCGAACAGCTTGAAAAAGACTTTCAGTAGGCATGACCGATGGTCCGACATACCTCCTTTCTTCCCTGCCCTGCTCGTCCCCTGACAGAGAATGAAATGGGCCAGAGAGTGTGATAATTTGCGCATGCTGCTGCTTTGAAATGTGTGACAAAATCTTCAAGTCTACAATGACTTGTAGAAACCAAGCCTGACAGGGGAATCCTCCGTGAAGGCCATTCACGGAGGATGGGTCTTTCAGGTGGAACATCTCAAAGTTTTCGACATCCGTGTGCACAGTGCAATCGCTCTTGTAAAATCCATCAGCGATGCGTGCTTTGATCACATCTCTGCAGCAACCTTCCTTCTCAACCTCAAGCACGAATGTTTGGTCGCCAATTTTGTTTGCAACAGCTTGCAAAGCCAAAAAAAAGTTAGGCCCCAGCGAATGCCACTGACTCAGCAAACCTTGGCCGTGAAAAAAGCCAAGTGAAGCAAACAATTCATCAAACCAGTTGCAAACCATGAGAACCAGACGGAGCCAAGCCAAGATCTAATCCGCAAATGCCCGAAAACAGGCTTACTGCCCGATGCTTGGGGCCATCCTGGCACAGAAACATCATTATCATTGCATAGGGAAGGAAGCAATGCAACTCCGGGGCCTTGTTCGTAAGAATCCATGGCAAAGACTTGCTCAAGTCTGGCTCCACCAAACCGGGTTTAGGACTCGACCAATGTGGCGGCAAGCCTGACAGAAAATAAAGAAACTTCGGCATCAAACGAAAAATCAACACAGAAGACCGGGGCAAAGACCAGCCATGAACTCAGCCACTCGAGGGGTCACGAAGCGTCCAGGCTGCTTCTTCTTCTGAGCGCAAGCTTGCTGGTACCACCGGGAATGGTAGATCTGAGTTCCAAAGTCCTGGGGAAGCACTTGAAGTGATCTGATGCAATGCAAATTGAAAGCAAACACTAGGTCAGCGGTCCCGCGAGCCCCGAATGCTAAGATATTTCTGATTCGCACATGTGGTCGCAGAGAAGCAGCCTGCCATGAAGCTGCAAACGCCAAATGAAAATGGAAAAATGAAACTGCAATTGAAAATTGATTCGAATTGGATTGAGGCACTGACGAATGGTTCCCCAAGAAGTCAAAGTTGTAGTCTTTCCTGGAACCATTCCACCTTTTGCCGGAAGCTTCACATTCTTTCCTGGTTTCTTGCAAACCTTGGTGGAAGGTAGCCAAACTTGTTATATATGGACTCCAGTGATATCCAGTGATCAAATAAGAACATTGTTGTTTTTTTTTAATGTTTTTTTCAAATGAAACTGAACCAGGTAGCAAGGATGATGTTCAGTTTTCGACGCGGCTTCAGTGGAAAGCAGGATGGACGCCAGCTGTCAATTGGATGCCATCTTCCATTCAGGCGACCGAACTTGGGTAACTTCTTGCCAGCCTAGAATTGCACTGAACCATCAAGAACCCAAAAATCACACATGTTTGCTGTTTTGGACGCCTGTGCCGCACGAGCACCACGGACAGGTCGATCTTCGGGTTGGGAACTCAGAGGATGAAGTTCAGTTGATTATGATTGCAAACGGTATGCACAACTGAACAAAGATACTTCAATGTTGGGAATTATATATATATATATATATATATGGGGTATCAGTATGACCATGGAGTGAAGCTGCACCACAATGCATTTTGATTTGATCTGAGTCCAACACTCGCTAAGCTCGTCGACGTCAGAAAGAGGCATGCTTTGCCAGGGATCCGCTAACAGAGTGGGGCAGTTGGACCACAAAAAAATGCTGCAAACAGGTTTGGTGTGCAACATATTGAATTGCCACAGGTTTGGTTCAAAACTTCATGAAAGAGTCTTTTTGAATGCTGGCTCGCAACGTTTTTTTCCATTGCACATCACCCTGCATGGATCCCAAGGTTCGCACTCGCTAAAGTAACTATCTACAGTAGTCTCGCTAGATCGAAATTAATCCAGTTCAGATTCAAAGAGTTAACTTTGCGAGGAAGTCTAAGTCATGGTGGCCAATTTCCAATCGCTCATCCGCTTCCGTCAACACACAAAGAAGTTGAAACAGTGCCCGTTGAGGCTTCTCTGCAGCATCCTTTGATTCCAAGAACAAGCTCACCTGAATTGAAGTCCGAAAGATTTTCACTATGCCATGATGTGTGGGGCTCCAAATGTGTGGGGCTCCAAGACATGTGAACATCATTTGCAATAAGAAAATGATACATCATGATACAATAGTGCTACATTTCTTTGAGCAAGGGACGGTCCTCAGCACGGTTTGGGCGAATGCATTTTTGCAGATGTGTTCTGCCTCAATTTCATTGGTCTCCGTTTTCTTTGTAAAAAGGACGGCTGAAAGTAGAATGAAAACAGTTTATGATTGGTTGGGGCTCCAACAAGGATCTGCTCAGCTTCAGGGCATTTGATGCAGTTGAGTTTTTCCATGTTCAAGGCAACGGCATCGAGCGAGTTCCGTTCCTCAAGCCATCATTGAACAATCGTGTAGTAGTATGCATGATTACAAGTAAAATGTAAACTGAAAATAAATATACAGTATATATCATAAACATCCAGCAAGTTAGTTTCAATGACACAGGTACCCAAGAATGGGCATGATGATTTCTATTGCGAAAAGGTTCAGCAGAATCCACCAATGTAGACTCATCTGAATCATGGCAGTCATGGGCATCATTGAGGGACTCATCATTCATATCCAAACAGTCATCATCATAAAGTTCAGGAAATAGCCTTCTAGCCACGGGCAATCCTCTGGCTCTGGCAACTCTGTTGGAAGGGTGAATGTCATCCATGATCGACTTTGACCTGGGTCTGGGTTTATAATTTTTGTCGTGCATGGCAACACTGAGATCAAAGCAGAGGAGACCAATCCAAGATGGCATCCTGCGATGTCGGTGTTTCATAATCGATTGCAAAAATTCAAAAGTGAGAGGAGTCCTGGCGGCGCAACTCAGTGATTGGCCCAAGATCCTCTACGACCTGAGGGATGAAATATATCTACAT